AAGGCTGACGTTTCGGGCCTAGACCCTTCTTCAGAAAAAATGAAGAATTGAAATGAAGAAATGAATGAATTTTTCTGAAGAAGGGTCCAGGCCCGAAACGTCAGCCTCCCTGCTCCTCTGATGCTGCTTGGCCTGCTGTGTTCATCCAGCTCTACACCTTGTTGTCTCTAAACTAGAATCAATGATGGTAGCTGTGTAACTAATGGATCATTATTAAAACACAACCAATTCACTTCAAGGCTGTAATCCTCACTAACGTGTATGTGGTTAACTCTTGTCTGCCCTCTGAAATGGCCTCACAAACATTTATAGTTGTGTTCAAGAACAAGGTTTACCAGCCCTTTCTTGAGAACAGTTAGTGAAGGGTGATAAATGCTGGCCTTTCCTGTGAAGCCAACATCCTGTGAGTTAAGAATGAATAAAAGAAAGTACATGCCACCTATTTGTCACCCCTGATGGACTTCCTGATGCCAGTCCTAAATTTGCCTTTGATTATTTGAACTCTTATTCACTTGTCCCACTCTCACTTGAGTTCAAGGTATTGTTCCATTCATAGAACATAGAACACAGAACACAGAACGTAGAACTGTGCAGCACAGGAACGGGCCCTTTGGCCCATGATGCTGTGCCGAACATGACACCAAATGAAACTAATCCCTTCTGCCTGCCCTTGGTCCATATCCCTCCATTCCTTGCATATTCATGTGCTTATCTAGAAGTCCCCTAAACACCATTTTCCTGAGTACATTGCCAAGGTCAGCTCCCAGTTGCATTTCTTTCAAAGATGTAAAACCAAGTTTCTCCAGCTGATCCTTATAGGCGAATGATCTGATATCGGTGATTAACATTGTGCCTCCCCCCTCAGATTGACTTCCTCCATATAGTTGAGTGCGCTATTCACTTTGTAATTACAGGTTCCACAGTGGTTAGATTGTTGAGCATTGAATTGACTAAAACCCTACTACACCTTTCGGCTCCATATTCAGCTCATTTCATACCATTCATGCAGTACTTATGTCAGCTGATTTTTTTTCTCTCTTCCTGTGTGCAGTATTACACATATGTCTATGTTATACTTCATCAGCCATAATTCTGCCAAATTACATATTTTGTCTAACTCAGTTTATAATTCCCAAGCTGCCCCTTCAGAAACAGCCGAGCAACCTAGTTAGCTGTCCTGTGTTGCTCTCTGTATCTGAATAGTTTGCATTCAGCAACATCCCAGCCTCTAGGACACCCAACTTGCTAACTGCTCCTTCTTTACCTACCCTTTCTGACAGCTGCCCACCACCGTCTACTATACAGCTAATTCCTCCTCCATTCTCAGGCTTGGTTTGAAGCTAAGTACTTGCATTTATGCAGAATTTATTTCCCTCAATAACATTTTCAAAGTCATTGTACAACGCACTGGAGATGTTACTTACTAAGAAGAGCCAAAGAGGCTAGCCAGACAGAATCATAGCCCCAAACCATTATTAACTGCTGTTCCTGGATTGGGATGGGAGAGGGGAAAATCACACTTTGCAGCATAATGGATTTCACAGTATTAACAGAGGGAACATTTGCTGGATGTGCGTAGGAAATTAATGTCTGCAACAAATTCATTGCCATGAAAAGTGATTCTTTAAAAACAAATTGTTAACTTGTCATTTACTGGAACGGTTCAAAAACCAGATGGTATAATTCAATAACATAGGACAATGGTTATAGAAAGGAAAATCCAGGGGTCGTCGTTTTACCGGGGTAATATTCTTGTAAAATCAGTTACTGGGGAAGATCATTGAAGCAGACATTATTGGTTCAAGAAACAAGTTGGCATGTTGCTGCAGGGAGAATGGATTGATGAATATGGCAAGATGCTGAGTGGGTGGGATTGCGACCATTTGAAAGTAGCTAGGCTCTTATCTGTCATAAAAATTCTTGTGCTATAAGACATTAGCACAGTAATCAGTTACTGTGATGTGACTGCCTTCTTGTTAAATACACTTTCAAGTCCTCTTAAAATAACCTTTCCTGACGATTTATGGCAGCGGAAATGGTAAAATTTTGCCCACCAATATTTTCTTTGGACCCTTAGTTGAGTTGCAGATGACCTCAGTATGATGGAGTCTCAATATCCCTGGGAAACCATTCAATCAACGAGGGAGAGAAAGCAAGCTCCTGCCTTCTCCGTCGAAGGCAAATTTGTACACAAAGATAACACACGGCTCCCCATTACATTTCAACCACCTATAGTATCTTATATGGCTAAGATCAAGCAGTGCACGCTGTCAGTGTATTACCCAATCAATACAAATTTTAGAACTGATTGAGATTTAACTGTGAATTGAACTCTGTGTGCAAATGCATGTTGCACTGCATTGCATGAATGGATGGGGTGTTAGAACGTTAGCTACCTACCCCTTCATTAACCTGTTGATTCTTTTCCCCCTAAACCCGTTATCAGAGCAAAGTGTCAAAAAGGTGGTTGAATGAGTTCTAAACAATAGTTTACGTTTGGAAATGCAAAGACAATATTTCCCATGCAATTAACTTGCTGCCCATGAACTGTAATGTTGCTTTACGTGAAGCTTCCTGTGTGTTTCTTTAATTAAAAAAAAAGACTATCAGCTGGTAATAGAGTAGGCAGAATCCATCACCAAATGATCTAGTAGGATTTTTCAAATCTTTCAGATTGGTGAAAGAACAGGTGAGAACTTTGGTGTGCAAGTGAGCCACACGATAGTGAGAGAGGAATGTAGAACATTGGAGGAAGTAGCGCAGGGAAGTTTTGTTTTACTAATAAACAATTCTTGGGCTTGCCCTATTATCCATTTATCGGGTAGTTTCATCATTGGCCTTGTAGCAAGTTACTGGCATGTGCCATCCTGGCTTGGTGATAACAGTCCTTGGCATAGGCAGCTCAAAGGAAATGACAATGGAGGGACAAAAAAGGAACTAAAAAAACTTACTTTGGAAATTTTAAAACTCTCATTAAATTGTATAACAACGTGCGGGATGTGCAGTTTTACACATTGGAATGAGCAATCAGAGGGTTTGTTGAAGTTTTCAATGGAGATTTTCTTAGCAATTTAATGGCTCATTTCGATAACAATCAAGCAATCCCCATGCAAAATTTAACTGAGGGAAATTCTAATTGCAAGCATTCACCTTCAGTAACTATAAGATTTTCAAGTTTGTGGGCATGTTTTAAAAGCTTCAAAATATACTCTTTAAGCCCGGGAATGTCTGTGTGGCGAATATTACTGCAAGTTTCTCAGTCAGTACATTTTTTTTCACTATATTTTGTCCAATATGTACTTGTAATGTGCATGTAATGAATTGATTGCAAAAGTTTGCACCTTCCCTAATAATTCTGATCATTCTAATAATTCCGGTAATGGTTTAGCAGATTGAATATGGGGCCTATATAGCAAGTGACCCGCCCAGGTTCTCTGCCTTTGACAATCATGTATACATAATTTGAATTTCTAATGTATTGGGAATAATGCAAATAAATTGTTTCCCTGGAATAAATTAAGTTTTGTTCGTCATAACTGTAATTGTCTGGTGTGCTGATTGTAATTGTTTGTGGCATTAATCGTTGAATGAGTTGTTAAGCTAAGGGCATAA